ATACCGGACGATTTTCTCAAAGATGGAGATGATACATGAGTCGACAGAAATGTGGTTCTACAGATGGATGCTGAGAATACCATGGACGTAGAATGTGAACAACGAGGAAGTTTTCCGGAAAATGCGAGCGAAAAGAGCACTTAGAGATAATTAAAATTCGAGACACATAATGAGGAAAGTGGGCTTGAAAGATTTGACACACACGGGACATACTGAAGAGGAGCAAAGACAATAGCGAGTCGCCTTTCTAATAAGCTTGTTTAAATTGATAGCAAAACAGAGAGGTAAAAAAACAGAAATTCTTAAGAGCGACAAAGGACAGAAAGTTGTGAAGGGCTACAATAAACTATGCTCTGTAAGTACATAAAAAGGGAACAATAATATTTTTTCTCTTGTATTTTTTTGTTCAATATTTTTATCTTATATGAGAGAATCCGAAATTACCATTCGTATTTTCCAGTCGAGCTTTTACGTTGGTTTTGTTCAAGTATTTCAGAAGAAACGCTTGTCAAATGCAGCCTCTTAAAAAAAAATGCCTTTTCCATAAAAGTCTTCGTATAAAAGTGTCTAAGCATTTTCCTATTTTTTTTATAGATTCATCACGTCGACTCTCGTTTTCACTTCCATTCACAGCATACTTGAAATCATTCTAAGTAAATATATGACGTTCTGTCCGGTGCTGCCTTTATTGACTTCCGTTAATAAAATGGGACTGATTATAAAACAGCCTCAAATCGATAATAATGTCAAATATATTGGGTCGAGTCGAAGTCACTTAGAATCATTGATTAGCCGCTTTATATTTCTATGTAAACAGAATGGCGTTCAAACAGTCCTCGAAACTTTTGCAATTACAAATTGATACATTAATTTCTGTTTAGCATTATTCGCCATTTTCCTAATCTATTGAGAAATCGAAATGATAAATATTGAATCGCTGAAGCCGAGATTATTTTTTTTTAAATTTAAAATATACTATTGATTAGGATTTTGTTAATATTAGATCAAATCTGGACTGAAAATGGTTGTCTAGAAAAATTATGCAAAATTTGTCCAATAACTAGGTACTTTATAATTTTCAAATTTTAAAGACAACTACCGCTGGTCTATAATACGAATGCATAAAGCAAGCAATGTAGTAATATAGTATCAGAATTTTTAAGTTGACGAATATACCTCATCTGCTTTGCTTTTTGTGCCAGCATGTTTATCTTGAATGTGATACTGACAAGTTTTCAACCATTGTACTCCCTGACATTCTTCAGGTGTCGATTGTCATACTCTCAATCTTTCTGAGAATTTCGAACCGAACCCTTCCAATCTACGAGAATTGCTATCATTCTGCTTTCTATTATTAGGAACTGTTTCTTACCAATTAATATTCACCAGTCTTATTCATCTTGATTGTTATATTCACAACGTTTCGACTCGAATTGATTTAATAATATTTACCATATACTTGAAATAAGGAATTGTCATTATTATACACTCTCCTATTCAGACTAAGATGCTCATCTTGATTTTTATACTCACAACGTTTCGGTCGTTGTACCCTCTAGCATTCTTCAGATGTCTATTGTCATACTCATTATCTTTCATAGAATTTCGAATCGAAGGCTTTAATTCCTGGAGCGGGGGTACGTAGTTCTTCCACGTTCAGATGATACTCCAAAATTATATTCATCTTTGTCTCGCTTAGATTGTTCAGAATGATAAAACATAAAAATGAAGTAATATCCTTTGCTATAATGTTTCTGATTGAGTTACATGATCGTTGGTGTTTAAATTTTTAACATTTTAAGAAAAGCAAACACACTCAGGAGCCATTAATGTTTATCATAAATTTTAAAAAATATCTTTTCGACTGTGTGCATATGAAATCGAGGGCTAAAAGTCAAAACAGAAGAAGCTCTCAAATTAGAAGTGGATAATTTTTAAGTTTCATGACATTATCCATTTCCTCAAAAGTAATGCCTCTTTACAGTGTATCCAAAATAAACATCATTTTGTAGTGTAATGACAAAGCGAATTCTCACTCAATGTTATCTCAAATTTTAACAAAATGTGTAAAAACTAAGTTTACTGCGCAGTCTCACTTTCTAATATTTTCAAACACTAAGTTATATTTTGAATTAACTGAGTTTAAGGTATAAAAACAGGTCAAAATTAGCCAAAAAAGCTCCATTTTCAATGTAATTTTCATTGTTTTTTCCAAATTTTGTAAAACAAAATTTTTAATATAACTTTGTGTAAACTGTTGAAACTTGTTAAAATCAATATTTTTGATCGATATCAAATCAATTTTCAATAATTAAATGAAAATCTATCAGGAAGATGGATCGGGCTTGCCAGCGATAATGACAATATCATCATCCCTTTTACCTGACTTGACACCTATTGATTTTTTTCTATTGGTCTATGTGAAAGGACAGGTCTATATACACTCTTTCTACAAGCGTAGAGAGAACGCTGGAGAACGTTACGCAAGACATGCTACCGCGTGTTTGGCAGGAGATGGACTATCGACGACATGGTGCACATATTGAACAAGTTTTGTGGAATCAGTCATAAAATCTACATTACTTTGAATATCTTCTTCAAATTTTGATAAATAGATATTTTCTTGGTAAACATGAAGCCTATTTGATATTGTTTGTCTGAGATATATACCTAGTGAGATATTCGTATTTTAAATCATGTCAGTCTTTTTGGAACACGCTGTAAATTAATTAGTCATCTGAAGTAATTTCGAACTGGTTGTCAGTTCTTGCCATGAGACTAACCTCGCTTACACTGTCATGTGTCTATTATGCCAGCTGCATTCAGAGGAACAGTCACAGGTGACCGAGAAAAAAATTACTGATTAAAGATAAAAGGAATCTACCCGGAAAATCTTCTAAGTTGCAGTGAAAAGAATCAGACCTAAAATTTTGAGTCATGTACTTAAATAGCCTCCTAATATCAACACTTTATATGAATGCCATGCATGACACCAACCCCGTTCAGAAATATCGAAACTTTCAACTGTATATAACTGCTTTGTCAGATCAATGGTAAAAAAAATGGCTTCAAATGAAAGAAACCTGTAGGTCATTGCGAGGAACGTCCTTCTTTGAACCTTGCGAACTGAAGCTACAGAATCACGAAAAAAAAATTGTTCTAAATAACAGAAACGACGTCACTTGAGGACATACGACAACGGCAATAACTAAAATGGATAGCATATACACGTATAACTCAAAGAGAAGAAAATAACATCACAAAGATATTGACGTTTCACACGACTTCAAATAAAAGATTAGCAAGGAAACCACCATCAATATTTGAAAGAGCTACAACAGTGAACGTAAGAAACCAATATTTCCTGAAAATTTCTTTAGAGAAAGATTTTTTTAATTTTCAAGCAAGAGTTGCACTGATTGCTCGATCAATGAATGTCGAATGTTTTCTTATAAGGATACGGTTAATATTAACATTACCATTACGTCCGAAAAATGTATAATTCGTTTATCCCGGTTGGAGGTGCTGTCCCCCTCCTCCCAGCCTTGTGTGCCCTTGGGGATAGATGTGTGTTTTTATAATACTACTTGTTACGTTAATATAATATCAACCTGTACTGTTTTCCGGAAAATTATGTAATTTAATGTGAGACAAGGTGAACGGAATTTGGGCATTAAGACTGCTTAAAAGGTAACCAGAAAAGTAATTATTATTAACAATAAATAAAATGTTTGCAGTACTTACATGTCAAGAGTAAAAGTTTCATGATGCTTTTTTTATCAATATCAGATATAACAGTGAACTTGAGAAAACGATTTTTCCTAAAAATTTCTTCAGCGAAAGACTTTTTAAAATTTCAAGCAAGTTGCACTGACTGCTCGATCAATGAATTTCGAATATTGAATTATTATTATTATTATTATTACTAATCGGTCACAGATAACTATTGTGAATATTTTATTTATTGATAATAATAATAGTATCATACATATAATAGAACTATTCTCTCAGTAACACCTGTCTTAATTTCTGATCATCAAATAACATTTAATTCTTGCCTTTCAATGCACAGCATACTGTTTGCGTGAAGAAATTTAAAAATGCATTGGTTGATCATCAAATGCTTCATTTATCACCGGCATACTTTAACTTGTTCATGTCGAAAACAAGAAAAATGGTGAAGTATTATGAGTAACAATAAAATCAGTAGACAGAAAAATCTAAAGGTTACTTCTGTATAATTGTCTTAAAACACAGTCGTTCTATTTTCTTATACAGTTCGAATTTGGTGTGTCACTATATAATTAATAATTAGAGTGAATGGAAATAGTGGTATATATATATATATATATATATATATATATATATATATATATATATATATAGTGATTTTCTATGCGTAAGTTAGATGCAGCACAAGGCCTAAAGAATGGGGTACTTAATGAGTATCGAATTCACTATTCAGTCGTAAATGATCTAGCGAGACAAGCTTGCTAAACTATACACTACGCTGAAGTGCCCATTCATATATATATATATATATATATATATATATATATATATATATATGTGCGTATATAATAAATCCTACCTGTAACCTTGTGCCTTACAAATCTAAGCGTAGAGGATGATTTTGGTGTGTTTGTAATGACATACACAGAGGCTAGTCGTTATTGATACAGTTAAGTTTTTTTTTTTTTAATTTCTAATGCTTTTCCATTCGGGCAGGTGCTACTTATTTGACATTGTAATATTTTAGGCTCATTAAATATAAATCTTTTTTGTCGATGGTATTTTTACTTGTCTTTTCCGTGGGTTTGATAATATTCTTGTTGCATCTCTCAGAGTTTATCTTTTGAAAACCGTACTAACGTCTACCTATCTATCTTAATTCATTAAATAATCCAGAAAGTTTGTTTAATCAAATTAATGTAACCAAATATTTGTTGTTTCGTAATCTTAAAAATTTAATTTAACGGTCTCTCTCTTTTCCTTTGCAGTTTATCTCTGACTACAATGGCGAGGACCGGTTCATGACAAGGATTGGTGTCGGAGGCCTTATGAATCTACAGAAACTGAAGGAAGCTCACATAGTCATGAACGATATTTGCCTTTTCCATCACCACGCCGCCCTGCAAAAGACGCAAAGTAGTATTTCCAACTTAAATAAAACAGAGCCAGAAAACACACTAAATATGTAAGTCTTCGAAAACTTAATTATCATTCCTGCCGTTCGTATCTTCAGAACTATTCATATTTTCCTTCGGACTATATTTTGCACAAGATTCATTTTGAAGAACGCATCTCTTTACTAATCGTCTTCATTCTATTAGGAATTCATGTCAGCGTGCCAGATTTCAACGAACTTCAATTTACTTTGTCGTTACTCTTATGAATATAAATAGAATAAGTTCTTATATATGCATTCATATTACAAAGTGAATTCGCTATCTCTAGAGACCATAAAGACTATGTAAATTGTTGCAGGAAAGATTGTTGTGTTTATGCGAAAAACACGTGTCTCCTGGTATTATTTTCCCATAACAATTATTGCGAACTCGAATGTGAGTCCAAGTAATAAATGATTAACACAAAAATAATATAAAACAAACGACAATGTATGTATTAACAAAAGTATTACAATTACATTAAAAATAAATTAAAGACTAATTTCATAATGCATTTATATTAAAGAACATGTGTTTGTATGTGTGTTAAATTTGTGTAGGCCTACGTGGTAAACACGGATATAAAAGACTAAAAAAAAGTCTCAAGAGAAAAGTAAGACATTATGCACGTTCCCCAGTAGGGCCATCTTTTTTTTTCCCCACGTTTGACAACCTCTTATAGACAGAGCTGTAAAAGAGGAAAAAGAATGAGTGAGAATATCATTTCCTATTTATAGGCTAAAGGAGCGTCCCCTAGCGACGGTTTTTTAGGAAAGTCAAGTGGGATAACCCAAAAAATCTACCTGACTCCTAAAAATATTTACTATTCGTACATGGATCATTGCTAGCTGAAAATTATCAGAACTCTTAACCATAAAAACAATTTGTTCAATCTAATTTCAAGTTTTAAGATAAATTTTGTGTCGCATTCTCTTTCGTAATTATATTGTACGCCAATTTTTATCTGGTCACAATATATAAAATATTAAAAGCAGAGGATTTTACGACAATGTCCGTCACCGTAAATGCTGAACACGATGGAAAATTTAAACGCAACAAAAATAAGCAATTGCTGAAAGGAAATTAATGTGATTTTTTTAAGTATCTATATAAAATAAATATTATAATAAATTTTTAATATTTGTTTAATATAATAAAACATTTAATCAATATTTACGATTTATTATTAAATAAAAATATTTTAAATAAAATATTTAAATTCATATAAAAATTTATATTCATATAAAATATTTATATTCATATAAAATATTTATATTCATATAAAATATTTATATAAAAAAGAAATGCCATATATTTCCTCTTATAACACGACCTTTAAATCCCCCAAATCAACCTTAGGCCGTCTTATACGAAAATTTTAAAAAAGAAACCTTAAATCCTGAATGATATTTGTCATTTTTTAGGCTAACCTAGGCCTCTATGCGATAAACAATAATGTACATTGACATTATTCAATAAACTCATAATAAAAGAATTAAAAAAAATTTACCTTATGTATTACTGGGCTAACTTCACAATAAATTGCCTATTCGAAATATATTTCCATATCAATGAAATCAACTTATATCAGTACAAGCTCAGCTGAGAAAATGTAAACGTCGTGTTATAACAGCAACCTTTATTTTTCGCAAAACTTTCAGTAGTTGTGTTAATTACGGCAGTCATAACATTTAGGATAACATAATATCAAAAAAAAACATGTTGAAAGTGGAATGTACTATTATTGTACATTATCGTAATGTTATTAGCGCTATTTTGTGATTGTCGATGATGTATAAGTAAATGGCTATTAGTAGACCAGGTTGTTTGTAACTGTTTAGATATAGGAGAAAAGAAGAGGAAGATGATTCAGTATTCACAAGAGATCACGTGATGAAACGTAAACATAACAATGGTTTCCCTTTTAGAGGACATGTGTAGGAAAAACATGATATAGAATCGATTTTGTTATTTCGTTTATTTTGAATTTCTCAGTATACAGTAACACTTCCAATAACACCATCTTTATATAATCAATAAGCAGTTGTTGTATACTACAGGTGTAGGATAAATTAATGTAAATTTGCTATATTTTTTTGACATTGTCTTATTTAAAGGTCGCCTTATACGCCTTTTCTTGGTCTGGATTGGATAATCATAGTAACATTTAAAGCTTTTCTCTTTTCTTGGTCTGGGTTGGATAATCATAGTAAATTTAAAGCTGCAGAGAATTGGGCTTTTTTCTTGGTCTGGATTGGATAATCATAGTAACATTTAAAGCTGCAGAGAATTGGGCTTTCTCTTTTCTTGGTCTGGATTGAATAATCATAGTAACATTTAAAGCTGCAGAGAATTGGGCTTTCTCTTTTCTTGGTCTGGATTGAATAATCATAGTAACATTTAAAGCTGCAGAGAATTGGGCTTTCTCTTTTTCTTGGTCTGGATTGAATAATCATAGTAACATTTAAAGCTGCAGAGAATTGGGCTTTCTCTTTTCTTGGTCTGGATTGAATAATCATAGTAACATTTAAAGCTGCAGAGAATTGGGCTTTCTCTTTTTCCATATTCTTTATGGACGTTTTTGGTTTGTCCAGATGCCATTTGTCAGTATGATCCTATTTAAATCGTTTGCACAGTTCTTCGTGGACCCCCATTCCTAACTATGACTTTTCACCACTTATGACCTTTTTTAATGATATTAGTCATTATTAATATTTTATATATGTATTTTCTTTCAGTACCAGTGAAGTGACGGTGCCTATGGCGAAAAGTGTTTCCATCGAAGAAGAAGACGAAGAGGCGGAAGAGGAAACAGAATTTAGCAGCGGCAATCATTTGGCAGTAACGATAGGCTCAGGACCAGGTGCCGGGCCCGGAGGAGGGGGCGGGGGAGGAGGAGGGGGAGGAGGAGTTTTAAATGCCACCCTCTACCCGAGTACTCTCAGCGTTGTCAGTGCTGGTAAAAGTGGAAGTCTACTCGACACAACCAGCGTTGCCGCCAGCACCACGGCTATAACTGCGTCTAGCATTATCACGGCTACAACGGCTACTACTATCACAGCTACCACCACTACCACAACCTCCAGTGAACGACAGCAGGACACGAGCATCAATGCAAACACCAGTGCCAACATCACCCTGGACGAGGACTCAGACGGAAGCATCAGCGACTACGACCTCGATCTTGATTCATACCGACCAATTCGACCTGTCAGTAACGAGCATGAAGTGACTCTCATCACACCGAAGTTTTCCGGGATGAGTTTGCACTATCTGCAATGTATGCACCATGGCTGCACTGTAGTTCGATGCGAAGTGGATACTAACCGCTCCATGGTGGTATGTCTCAAACTAGAGAGTGATAATCGAACTTTAACGTGGCAAAAAGCTCCCTGGAGCGCACTAAGAGGTAGCCCCTCTCCGTCGGACTACGTCCTCAAAGCTGACTTTGATTTGGCTATGTCTAACATGATATCTATGCGCTACAACACAGATGACGATGCTCTCGAAGCACTGGAGGAAGGTTTTATCGACATAAACATTGTCAAGGACGTTTTTCTCGGTGCTGACGTCTCTGATTTCGCTGCCATTGGCAAGCGTTACGGACTGGAGAATTACACTCCAGAGAAAAACTCCCTGTCAATCGTTTATGGTTACAACATTACCGAGAACAAAGTTATACATTTCATGTCTCCCGACATGGTGACGAGGATCTGGTATCAAGGTCTGCAATGTCTTGTCAAGGCCAATAATAAAATAAAAAACCAGACAGACAAAAGAAATCATTGGCTCAAGACCCAGTATCTCCAGTTGTATCACGAGAATTATAAATGCCAAGGACCAACTCCAGCAGAAGCAATAAGGGTTTGTTATGCTTTAATTTACATTTGACTAATCGTTTAATTTTACTCATATCAAAATATCGCATGTGAATGTTCGTTAACAGGTCAACGTGTGTACATATGTACAAGCAAGTACCGTAATTCCTTGTTTATAATACGCCTTCATCCATAGTACGCAACCCTAATATTATGCTGAAAGTGTGGGAAAATGCTACTACTCATGCATAATACGCCTTTTTTGTTAATGAAATCCTATAACTTGTAAAACTCCAATTTCATTATGGCCATCGTTTTCCACTCTTATTTTAAAAAATAGTTTTAAACATAGAATAATATTATTCTCATTTAGTTTTATGATAATTCTTATTTTATTTTACAATTTTTTAAAGATTTTTTGCAGCTGTGCATAATACGCGCCCCTGATTTGGTTTATTTTTTAGAAGATAATGAGTATTATACATGGGGGATTACAGTAAATCGTCAACGTATTTGAAAAGACATCTATGGTCGACATACTGGTAGCAGTTGGTCAATATGATAGACTTAATCAGAAATTAGGTAGCATTGTGAATATACTAATATGAAGATAGTTTACCTTCAGAATTATAATAAATTTCATAGGTTTTGTCTACAAATTAACTTTAGAATGATCCATTATTCAATATGAGTTCAAAACTTTAGTTCTTTTGTAGCGGGGTTAGTTGATTTCATATTGAAATAATAAGGAAAGAATTTCAAAATGGTTACGTAAGTCTGTACACACGCATAAATTATCTAATATATACTTTTAAGGAATGGTATGTTTATGGATTAAAGTGCCTAATATCAGAGATAGGGCGTATGTAAATATAAAAGTGGACAGGGAAGTCAACACTAGGAGTCGACAGTCTGTTTCCTGCAAAACGCATTCCTTAGGCCACCGATTGCGTTTAGCATCAAGCAGACTGTCGCTTCTCGGTTTTGACTTCAGTGTTCAATTATACATTTTATATATATATATATATATATATATATATGTGTGTGTGTGTGTGTGTGTTTGTGTGTGTGTAATATATCCGTCCACTCTTTAGTGGGTAACAATTGAGGGCTTATATTTTCTGATTTTTCCTTTTTTTTATGCACTTATCGTTTGTGCGCGTGCGGCTATGCGCCTGTCTGTGCACATGTGCGTTTGCTCACGTGCGTGCTCCGGTATACATTATAGACGAAAAGTTTGGGAAAACCCACTGAATTTTGGATATTCGCCTAAAAATTGAAGGTTGCGTGCCTTTTTTTATAAAGCCAATATACTGGCTCTTTTCGGACCAAACAGCTTTTCACTTCTTGAAGAGTTTTATCATATATTCAATAATAATAATTATCATGAAGAATGAATGAATTATCCTTAAAATTTTAGATCGTTCTGATTTATCCGCCTTGCTGGCGAATGATAATCTTAGAACAGAGAGATTATAAATAATCCTCTCTCTCTAAAAACTTGGACGAAACGCACTAAAGGGTTAAATACCCTGGCTTATGATGAGTTAACTAAACCAAAGGCATGAAATGTCTTTTATGTGGCGTGTATCTTCAGGGTATTGACGACCATGGTTCTACACAATTTTCTCCCCTTTGTAGCTCTTAATAAATTTTCTCTTTTGATCATCTCTCCCAAACCCTGCTGCGCCGTCCATTCACTCAAACTCACCAGGTAGGTTATGCGTGGTTTTCATCTGTTCCGCTTGCCTCCAATCTGTCTTTCCTCAATATCTATCCTACAAAGTTCAACTCTCTCTCTTTTTGATGATAAGTATCCTTTTTACTTCAATTGTCCCTAGAACTTCGTTGTTGCTCAAATTGTAATTACTAAATACAGAAGATGGCTCAAAACATTTGGCATATATATATATATATATATATATATATATATACCACATAACACCCTTGAGCGCTTAGCTTTGGAGCAGGTAGAATGGAGATCAACGTGTTTTAGCAATTTTCAATCTGCTTGTCTGAATCATCTTCAAGAAGCGAGAGCAAGATCTAAAAGGTCAGCCAATCTAACAGTGATCTCATCTCACAATTCTCACACCTGCTCCATATGTGGCCTTTGTAAATCACTAGCGGGTCTTAAATGCCACTTAAGTTTATCGCATAAACTTTCATAACTGAATCAATATGCTGGCAGATCCTCATACGTCGAAACCGACGGAGAGATTATTATTATTATTATTATATATACAGGGTGTCCATAAAGTTCATGTGCACATATATATATATATATATATATATATATATATATATATATATATATAAACAACGCCTAGTAGGTAAAAGCATTGGTTTTTGAATTTGGTGACATATTGATTGTGAGTTCAGTGCCTGGGTTGGGCAGTGTGTACTTGCATTCAGTGAAAACGTACGAATAAGTGAATGGTACAAAATAAGAACTAGACGACATGCCTACTCTTGGGCAGTGCAACGATAACATTCTACCCACAAAGATAAAATAATGGTTAGCAAGATTGTATCGCTAGAACAATTACTAATAAATAGTGAGTTCGATCCTCACTATGTGACCCATACTTTCGGCCTTGTGCCACATCTAAGCTACGCTTAGAAAATCACTATACGGTTCTAAATTAATAGAAATTTCCATTGTAATATTAGTGCTTAAAAGTGGAATTTATTTTTTTTTTAAATTGTATTTTGCAATATTTTACCTCAAATCTATTTAGCACGTTTTGGCACCTTGTATGTTATGAACCGGAAATCAAAAAGGAAGGTATTGTCCTTCATTTTTGAAGAATGTAGTTTTCAGGGAAGCAAATAAACACAAGGGAGTTCCATTGTCGAGAAGTCGGAAAAAAACTGTTGGGGTAGAAGTGGCGGTTACATCTATTTCAACAGCAAAAGAGTGAGACTTAGATGTCAATCTAGTAGCACGCTTAAATTCATGTAGTCAGGGAACTAGTGAAAAAAGAAGATGCCATGAAAATATTTGTAGAAAAGACAGGTAAAAGCCGCGTCATGCATGTGAGAAACTGACTGAAGTCGAAATGCCTACTTAGGATTGATTACACAGTAGATCCTTCTTTGGATTTTGTCAAGAATCTTAAGATGAATAACAGGAGCACAGGACCAGATATGGCGACAGTGTTTAATGCACGGCCGAATGGTAGATTTGTAAATATACAAGATGAACTCTGACAAGGAAAACCTTCTGGCACAACACAATGAACCAACTTTCCTTGCAGTAGATGCAGCTATTGATTCAATGTAGCTGTTCCACTTTATGTCAATTGAAAACGAGAGGCTAAGAAGGCGTAGTGTGATGCTCTTTAGGAATCGAGCATCAGCCATGCAGATGTCGGCAAGTTTCCCTATGGTAGTTAAATGAGAGACGTTAAAATTAATACATATATAGGACTCAATGTAAAGAAAGACTGAGAATTCTCGAAGCCATTTTTATAAAAAAGAAACAGCTAACAAAATATTTGTGTATAAAAAAAGAGCACGTGTCAGTACTCGTTACATGCTTTTCACTTTGATCCTCGTAGATGACGTCACGTTTACCTGACTTAAATTTTGATTCCAGTAATCTAAAAATGCCGTAATTTAGTCAAGTACAACTTGCTTAATATACTGATCACCAACAATTCTTGACAGTGATTATGTCAGTCGAATGTAATAGATAATAAACTTTGGACAGTTTATTGCCAATTTCAATCCTGATGTAAAATATCTCACTCAGAAATTAGAAAAACAATATAAAAATTTAACCGAATTGCTAACCGAAACGCTCCTCTGTGGCGAAATCGGTAAAAGCACGTCAGGCTATATGACGGTTCCGTATAGGATACAGGTTCGATTCCTATCGGAGGACGCATATTTTCTATGACGATTTCTCGGACATTCAGGCCGGTATATGTTGTTAATACTGTTTATTATAAACAGAGAATTTACTTAAAAAAAGAATGTATAAACATAAAAATGTCTTAAAATAATTGTCGGATTTTTGCTCATATATATATATATATATATATATATATATATATATATATATATATATATATATATATATATAACCATAACTAGTTTATATATATATATATATATAACTGTTTGTATATATATATATATATATATGTGTGTGTGTGATTATTTTTATATTTGTGTGTTTTGTTTATATCTATGTGTATGTTTGTCTTTATATGTATGTGTTTGTGTGTACATATATCGAATTAATAGATACACACCAACTCGTTCCTTCAGGCTCTATAAAGGTGTACTGAATGCGCTTGGTCTGACTAAAAAAAATGTTCTATGAAAAAAAAATATGGTTGGTCTTTTAGTCATATTTTAGGAAATTGTTTGGGCTGAAAACTTTCAGCACCCTCACGCATATATAATTTCCTTCAAGTTATAGACAAGCCGAAAAAATGAAAACTATACCCATATATTTTTTGTTGATAAAAAATTCGAGTATGAAACACATTTCCTTCATTTTTTTTATTTTATTTTCTCCTTCATTTTCTTAATCTTAAAAAATTATCCAGTAAAACAGAAACTTACTTCTGAACATTTTTCGTTTTTCAATTTTTGCTCTTTCCACATAATTTCGCCAAATTTCTCCTCCAGTCTCTTTTTGTCTAACGCAAAGTGATTAAAATGAATCACCAAATGGAAAAAGTTAAATGTTGATAACAATGCGTTTGAAACAAATTATTCCATTTCAGCAAAACTTTGCACTAATATCTGAAAAGCAGCTGCCACCTTTTAATACGACTAATACAGCCGTAGAATGGATCGGCAGCAACATTGTGGGAACAACAAAAATCACAAAAAAATCTAAAATGAGTTCAGTCTTCCGAAAATTTCTTTGATAATGACTTTACTTTAAACTATAAATTTTAATCAACTACATTGTTAATCGAAAAAAAATCTTATTTATTTAGGTTCGACTTTCTCCGCAAAAAATCCTCGTTTGTTGCACTGCTTGGTAAAATTATGCTTTCGTATGTAATTCTAAATTCATATCATCATTATTATCTTATGTTTTTTTGTAATTACAGTATGTTTTAATTTTTGTTTTTTGTTTTTTCATTTTTAAACTTTCCAGACTTTTGGGGGTCGGCGCTGGTCGAGCGGCACCCAAAACACAAGCAATTCTATGGAGTCTCAAATTTCCTCCAAGAAATCATCGCAGGGCTTTGGCGGACCAACTATTTTCAAGAAGAAACACAGCTCTGGAATAACTTCATCGAAGGTGTGTTTGATTTCTATCAGTAAATCCTGTCTTCTTATACAGAACTTCTCTTAATTCAATGCATCTATATATCTGCCACCTCTCTATCTCCACGCACCAAAACACACGCACACACACACACACACACATATATATATATATATATATATATATATATATATATATATATGTGAGAGAGAGAGAGGAAAGTATTGTATGGCTTTTTATTCTATTTTTTAATCAATTGACCCTAAGTAAGGCAATAATGCCACTATGACGCAAGGGGTTTACTGAGAGTGAAACAGAATTTTGTTGAAAATCTGATGGAATGGTAAGTTTATAAGACAGTTCGGAAGACTGTTCTTTTGCCATTTTTACCTTCTTGATATTCTGTTAATTCCAACTGATATCTTTTTAAAAAAAAAACTTAACATACGCCATAAGTCAACAAGCAAAAATGTCCTCATACACTTTTATTCAATAAATAAAATGTATCTTAATCATAAGTTTTATTTCAGAGCCCTTAGAATTTGCATCTCTAAATATCTACCTGATGAAGTATTTTAAAAATATCTTGTGTCTCAGTGGCTTTACTGCCTTCCTTGGTGTGGTACCGATTTTAAAAAAGCTCCGTATAAAAATTGTCACAAACACTTCTAAAACAATCGAAAATTTAATCAAAGTAAAAAAAAATATAAATTTATATCTATCAATTAAATGGTAAATAATGCTCCCAAAAATACATAGGAATTTAAAGAAAAGTATATAGGAATATAAAAGGGACTTTAAATTAAACAACAAGCTTAATGCACATGTATGCCACCGAAACCTTTGTGATTAGATAATTTACTCAGACAAAAATGGATTGAAAGTGTCATGCTGTCCGAAATCCCAGAGGTTAATATACGACCGGGATTCTTCAGTCTCTTGCTCTTTCTTAAGTTGGACATGAAAAATCCTAAAACAAATGACTATATAAACAAAAAAGTAGGAAAATATAATTTCGAAAACGATACAAAGTAAAAACATGTAACGTCATAAGATTACCGTGATTCAAGTTCTGTCTTGCCAATCTAGATTTAGCTGAAATAAAATCCATTTTTCTGATGACACTGCCCGCGTATTCAAGAAAACTTAATAAAGAAAATGAAAAGTACATTTCATTTATTAGGTTTCCTCGAATGCGCAGGTTGACAGACGCAGTATAAACTGTTTAAAGCAAAAATGAAAATGAAGCGTCTATTTTAAATATGAGTATCCACTAATAATAACGTTTAAAGTAATGAAAAATGACATTAAAAATAAATCCATTAATTCTTTCATCATCTTTTATCCATTGTCATCTTCAGAACTATTTTGTAGACTCTCAATCCGACATTTTATGTCAAATTTATTTTCCCCGCAACTAAATGTCCTTGATTTTAACAATATTCATCTTATTTTCATTATACATTTTCATTTTGTAATCAGTTAAAAAAAAAGTACTTATATTTATTGAATCTTTTCAAAATTTTAAATAAATGTAAACTATAGGACCCCCTTGACAGAGTGGTAGAAGAAAGCGAGAAAAAAAGGACTAATTATCAACAGATAGAAGATAGTGTGGTCATCAGTATGACAAAGATACCCAATATGAGTTATGAATTGGATATATAAATATCAAGCAGGTACAAAAGATCAAATATCTGTGAAGCGTTTTAACAGAGGATGGAAAATGTGACACCGAGATCTGAAGTACACGTTGGACTAGCGAAAGAAAGATTCCAGAAGCTAAGGAAGGTAATGTAAAACGGAAAATTTTCGTTAGAAAGTGTTGGATTGTTATGATATATCTACCCCCTCATACGGCAGTGAATGCTGGAGAATCACATCATAGATGAAAAAGAGATTTTAAGCAACAGAAACATGGTTCTACAGAAGGATGTTGAGAATACCTTGGACAGAGAGTGTAAGCAATATGGCAGTTTTAAAGAAAATGCCAACAGAAAGAACACTTATTTTCTAAATCAAGTAAAGACAGCTGAAATTCCTTGGATACATAATGAGAAAGGAGGGTTTGAAAAACTTAACCCTCACAGGGCATAGTGAGGGCAAGAGAGATAAAGTAAGACAGCGAGCCATTTACATAATGAGCTTGTGTGAATCTATGGCGGAACGAAGGTCGGGACTTTAGCAAAGTGAGAAAAACTGCTATGAGCTACACTAGATAGAATAGTTGTCGAGAGCCATGATCGCTTATGTCCTTGTTATATAGGAATAAAGTATCGATGCCGACACTTGAATTTGAACATAGATCGCCAGTTAGCAAACACAGGCGATCCCATTATTGAATTAATAGACCACGTGACCATAGAGGAAACGCATATATATATAGGAAGTAGCTGACGACTAACGATCGCTATTTCTAGTCTATCCTCTATTACTATACGAACCACTATTCTCTACTCTGTTCGCTATACCATTTCTATATTCGGATCGCTATACGGATTACTATTCGAGCGAGTATTATCGAGCAAGTACTATTAGTGCGTGTGTTATTCGAAGACGTCTGACACTAGTATTGTTCAACGGCGTACTATAGTTGTATCTGGTATTACAAAGTTTCTACTACAACGAGCATTACAAATGTGACAACGAGTATTCGTTGACATCACAAAAGTGTCAACGAGTGTTCGTTGATATCACAAAAGTCCTGAAGTGACGCAGCACATAGAAGAAGAGACAAAATTTGAAATAACAATAAAGTGGCACATAAATTATTACGATTGGTCTTTTTTAAAGCGTGCTACTAGGTTGTCCGTTAGGTCTCACCGTTTTACTGTTGAACAAGCTAAATGTATCTGTCACTTCTACCCTAACAGTTTTTCTCGCACTTCTCACTTGTGGAACACCTTTGCGATTTCTTGCTTCCCTGATAACTACAATCTTTAAAAATTTAAATGCAACGCCAATCACCATCTGTCTTCTTAAACTCTGTTTTTTTTTTTTTTTTTTTTTTTTGTCTTTTTCTCAATACTTCCCACTAAAGTATTCTCATTATCTTTCACTCTCTGTAACCCCCTGCGTTTTCGGCTTGAGCTGAAACGATTAAAAAATATATATCATGTGAGTAAATGAAAGTTTTTGTATTTTTTTAAGTTTTATTCTTTCAGTGTATATATTCAGCACAAAATATAAAAAGAAAAATTTATGAAAATTTTCTTATTTTTCCTTCACGTTTTAACCACTTTTCTAATTTCAGTTCCTCTCTCCCCGCAAATAATTTGATTCACCCTGGGTTTAATATTTCACCCAATTTAACTTTGAGAACCCATTGCTCTACTCCGTCAGTTAAGTGCCATCACGTGTTACACGCTTGGACGATTATGTCTCTTTCGATTCATGACTGACGAGGCAGAAGATTTTCCCGCACTTTGACCAAGGCTATAGGAACCAGTCTGTCCTGCTATAAAACGCATAGCTGAGGGGGAGAAGCGATAGATCCATACCTTTCCCAAGGGTATTTTCGCGAAAGTGAATATAACGAACCCGACCGGAATTCGAACTCGGCTCTCCGATGCTCTCCTAGTGAAACATATTTTAAAAAATTCTTTATAACAGACGAACATTAATTGTATTTTGAAACGATATGTAAACGTATATTGTATTTTAGGTTTTTTGGGGTTTTTTTTTTCGTGTAAATTATTAATTAACGATCGTCTGGTATCGAAAAGAATATATCTAAAAATATGTATCATGAGTGTAACAAAGAACACTAAAAGGTTAACTAGCTCTGATCTAACATATAACGAGTATTAATCTATAAATATTTACGTGTGTATCTATATGTGTTGCCGAGTGGTTAGAACGCCCGCATTCTGACCATGAGACCCGGGTTCGAATCTCACCATGATCGATTTGTCAGGAAGGAGACTTCCTGATGTTATCAGACTGGAGGGGTCGATCTCAGCGTGTGGCATCTTTAGAAAGTGCCTGAAAAATCATACCACGTGTTGACCCAAGCCTTGTGAGTGAAATGTGTTCTTTTTGTCTTCATTTTCTCTAAAACTTCATCACTACTCACATGTTCAGTCTATGGTATTCCCAGCATACTTATTCAGAAACGCATTTCTGTTGCTTTGTTTCTTTCTTCATCTCTGAGATTGTTCCCAATTCACTGCTATATAGGATGACTGATATTGCGTAACACATGAATATTCTTTCCTTTTTTCCAACGAAATTTCCTGTTTCTTAATACCTTGCTTGGCGTTTCGAAAGCATCTTTCCCTATCTCAATCCTTCGTATTTCAGTGTCGCCCTTCCTGTTTTCTATTAAAACACTTCTCGGATATTGTTGTACTTGTGCATCGAAATTTAGCCCTGGTTTTGGTTACAGGTAATTTACTATCGATATACCTAGAGTGGAACAGAAGCTAATATTTGTATTTCTATTTTGATTTTTTGTAGGACATCAGTCCAAAAGGGTCCAACAGTTCAAGTACGTTTAGCAGCTCCGAATCAACAGCCAAGAACACTTACAGCCATCGACAGACACCGAGCCCGACGCGGCGAACCAAACCAGAATCTTCTAAAAGCAGTGTGGTTGATCCATTTCTTAACCAACCAATCCAGTCCAGTACTTACGTTCCGGGATTCCGGCCGCAGAACCTGACGTATAGTTACACGAATCGATACCGTTCGCGGCGTAGGAAGATGTCACTTGGCCCCGGCAGATCTCTGCCTTCTTCCGATAACCGGTCGACGGCAATCACCCACTCAACCCAGCTTGCTTTCTTGGATTTTGTAGACCTCTTCAAGGCCTTTGGTCTACGGTGTCGCAAAGATATTAAGGATTTATTCGAACAGTTTGCTATCAGCAAGACACTGGCTGAAATTGAAGAGGCTCCTGCATACCATCGACCTCTCTATACCCCTCGTAACGAAGACATGGGTAAGAAAAAAATATTTTCTTTGTTAACAACGAGATATCGAAAATAGGTGCTAATTTCAGAAATAAATGAAAAATATGTTGTGGATTTCAGCTGTATTGCATTTCAAATTATATTCTTTTACTTCTGATTACATTATATATTGGTTCATTTGGACTTTAATTTATTCGAAGTATTGTTTACATATATATATATATATATATATATATATATATATATATTATGCCTTTAAATTAGGGGGTACATAAGTGTTTGAGGGTACATAGGACCTTGATATCATTGCCGTTTCTGTAACAAGCCAGTTTTTAAGTGAGTAGGTTGTTTGACTTCTGCACAACCTCCAACCTGGGGGATCAGTATCTGTCTATATTTCTGAGATGAGGTATTATGTACACTATTTTCATTATTCGGACTATTGTCCTCATCTTTGTCGCCATGTTTATTACAACGTTTCGGCCGTTGTACGCTCCGGCCTTCTTCAGGTGGTTAGAATGTCGAACTGCACCCTTTATTTCGCTCTCTGGGCTAGTAGACTGTTCTAGTTCCACGTGCCATGTTTAATGGATGTCAGTTGTCAGTTATCTCCTATTAATTCCCCTCTCCAAGTTCTCCACTGCCTTAACCGGGTATTCAACTCAGACTCTTTTGGGTCATGTTACTGGATCTAACTAACGTCTTTATCCACTGTGTCATGTGTCCTTGAAGACAGTTATGTTTGCCACATATCCGCATAAACTGTGCTTCTGACTCTGTAACCCTCTGCCTCGAGTGGCTCTAGTACAGGGTAAACATTAAAAACAATTGATAAATAAAGATGTCTTTCTGTAAAGCCTACAAATAAATACTTTTTTTCTGGAGGATGTTTTGCAGATTAAAAAATATAGTAATATTACAGTAGGCTATTTTTTTCTTCACTACTTCACAGCTAGACGCCCTTTTTCGCCAAATTTAACTAAGGTTAACAGATAGCTCCGAGGATGTGATCCTCGGTGAGGTTTATCCTCACTTCAAAAGTTAAATCCTGCTACATCAGCCCCGAAAATATGTGTATGAGCACGCACACGTACACCGAGTATATATAAGTAATCATATGTTACAGATTTATCTACTGTAATCTAACATATGGTCAATATATATATATATATATATATATATATATATATAGTAAAGGTAACAAATCTGTTGGTATATAATCCAAGTGGATCCTAGAAATATAAAATATTAACACTGATCCACAAAAAGAGGTCAATGTATTTATTATTACAGAGCAAATAATTAATAAACAATAAAATCCAAAATCACTTCATATGGTGAATAGTCTATTTCGGCAAACGAAAATATCTGCCGTCTGTCTTATCAACCCCGGAATAGACAGAGTTTGTCTCTGAAATACAAGTTTAACAGTGAAAGCTAAAGAAAAAAAAATCAACCTGTCGAAAAACTAGTACAGAATTTATCCATTTCAATGTTTCAGTCAGACGAAAGACACGAGGCAGTGGTCAGAGTAGTGTGGAATGTATTTGTCTTAAAAGGAAGAAGTTTTATAAAAATTAAACCAGAATATTAACCTTATGACATTTATTTCTTGTTATATGAAGAATGAAATATTAATTTGAAATTAAAAGAGAACACACACACACACACACATATATATATATATATATATTGTTAATATTAGTTCGTCAATATACATACAGATATATATATATATATATATAAATTCCCAAGAGGATAGAATCCAGGTAGAACTCAATGTCCAGAACAGAGTAAGAATATAATATAAAACGCTCAAACACTAATATTCAATGGTTATAATTTATTACATTGGAATCGTAATCATGATCCAATTCATCAGACCTACAAATTCAAAATATATATATATATATATATATATATATGCATGTTCCTTCATGCAGTTACACCACCCACATACACAAGATATCACTTGTCTAGCTTTCTCCTGTCGAAGTGTAATTCTATGAATATCTGGAAACACTTTTATAAAATAATTAATTAAAGGAAGTTAATAACATTTAGTCGCAGTTGATCATAAAGTGAATGGGCACCTCGGCTTGCTGTAATAGTTAGCAAGCTTGTCTCGCTAGATCAATTACAACTGAGTAGTGAGTTCTGTGCCCATCGGATGCTCCACACTTTCGGCCTTGTTCCACATCTAGCTACGCTTCGAAAATCATATATAAATTTTAGTGAAATTCCGACTTCGGAATTTCTGTTTTGTTTCAGTCTTACCATTCTGATTTTTCTCGGAGATAATGGTCATTCAATTTTTCCAATGTGTAACCTGAGCTGTTTATTAGACGAACAAGAATAAATTAATTCTTTTTATAAAGTCTGTAAAAGCATTGTTATTAATCTCCCATATATTTTTTTTATTTCTTAATAATAAAGAATATTCCAATTTGATGTTTTCTTCTGTCTACCGTGTCCCTTCAGGACATGAGTGATCATGGCTCTCCGCAATTTTCTGTCTTCTCAGTTCTTAGTAACGTTTTTGGGGTTTTTTTTATCTCTCCTAATCCCTGTTCTGCCATTTACACAAGCTCATTAGGTAGGTTATTCGCTTCTTCCTCTGTTCTTCTTGCCTTAAATATTCCCTGTGAGTATCAGATTTTCCAAGCTCTCTTTCCTCATTGTGTACCCTATAAATTTCAATTCTCTATTTCTGATAAAACATAAACAATTTATTTTGCTTCGGTTCTCCCTAAATCATTGTCGCTGCTCACATGTTCAGTCCATGGTATTCCCAATATCCTTCTGTAGAACCACATGAAAGAACTGATAGTAAAGTTAGTAAAAGAAAACAAGAAGAAAAAACACTATTAACTAAGAAAACAGAATACATGGTTGTCGGCAAATGATACAGCCCAATGGAAACATCAAACAGGTACTAATTTCTGTACCTGATTGATATTGAGGTTCCCAATATATAGTTCATACATTGGGCTATAATAGGCGTGATGTGTGTACTTTTATATGGAAGATTTAAAAGAGACTTGGAACAACAGAAAAGGGCTTCTATAGAATGATACTGAGAATACCATGGACTGAACATGTGAGCAACGATGAGGTTTTAGAAAAAATGGAAGCAAAAAGGAAACTTATACCTAACATCAAGAAGAAACAATTCAAATTTCTGGGGCGCATAATGAGGAAAGAGCGCTTGGAAAATCTGATACTCACAGGGAAGATTGAGGCCAAGAGAAACAGAGGAAACAATGTATAATATATTTGATGAGCATTATTTACATTATTCGGACTATTATCCTCATGTTTGTCACCATATTTATTACAACGTTTCGGCCGTTGTACGCACCGGCCTCCTTCAGGTGGTTGGAATGTCGAACTGAACAGACGGCCATATCACGTTGACACATCGAAGTTAAGCAACGTCGAAATGAACAAGATCAGTACCTAAATGGGTGATCACTTGAAAATACCAGGTGCTGTAAGCTTGGATGTGCAATGTGAGTTTAATGTAATGGATGAAGGTTCAAAATGAGAAATCGAATAGTGGAGTTCAAATTCCGGTCGGGTTCGTTACATTCACTTACGCACAAATACCTTTGGGCGATCATGAATCGAATAGAGACATAATCGCCCAAACGTATCATGTCATCCCCTACCAACATACATTGGAACAACACGAGGTGTAATGGCCCATTCCTTCCCAAGATCCGTCACAGAAGAAAACTGATTGCCTTAAAAGCAAAGTGGGCTGAATGGCTGTGATCTATTTAATCTTCAATAAAACAGGCAGTTGTTCCCAGACATTTTTTTCTCTGGGCCGCATTTTCGTTATGATAAAAAGTACATGTACGAAGCCATCGACTCTGGAAAAGGGAAGTCCTGGTGAACAGATGCAAGCAGTTCTAAAGTAAAGAAGGTCAAGAGCGAGGATTAAAAGGAGATAACCGCGGATTCGAAATCAGAACCTTATCATTGATAACTCTCTCCTCCAATCTGCAGACCATAGTTACTACATTCTTAATACTTGATATAATGCAAAAATATCACAATATATAAAATAGTTCAATAATTATTTATAGCTATTTATATTGGGACACATGCATGCAATTGCAAGTAATCCATAATAATACTTTAAATTTTGAAATCATATTTATTTTGGGCATGTAAATTTTTTGAAACTGTTTCTAAATCTTTGATTGTCATTCACTCATTCCGTCTCACCTGCTATCCTCTTCTGCCGCGCCTATGGGGCGCGTCATACCGTTAGGGAAGCACTGTGACAGAGGATGCTGTAAAAATTTCTCACAAATTGTTAGAGTGGAACAACCTATCACACCCCGACAGTGATTGGTCAGTCTAAAAGAGACGTGAATGAGGAGAAAATAAAAGACGTGACGAAGTATTGTAGTAGCAGTACCACTACGGATCTCCGTGACGTATCTTCTGTTTTCCTTATTATTATTAAGAACTCTTATTCATTGTACTTTCCGTACAATAAAACCTATATTATTTGTTTTATCTAATTCCTGTGTTTAGCGTAATGTTTCTACTCGGAATTACCTCGTTGCTTATATCATATTATCCACGATATAACACAAATGTAGAAAAGACTTGAAGTAACATAAATGTGGTTCAAGCGTCAAATCGAAGAATACCGTGAACAGAATATGTGAGCTATGAGGAAATTTTAACAAAAAATAGAAGTTACAAGAGAAGTGGTACTTACATTCAGATAGAAACAAATTGAATGTATGGAACACGTAATGAGGAAAGAAGACATAGAAAATCTAACCATTATAATCTAATATATATTGAAGACAAGAGAGGCGGGGAAAGTGCGTATAACGTAATGGTTAATAGAATTGACGGTGGAATCGACGAACCGAGTTCAAGTTCATGACTCGTTTGTTACACTCATTTCACTTTAATATCCTTGGGAAGGGCACGATCTTCATTTTCCCTTCATAATAGGAGGGTCAACAAAGCTCTCTAAACTTAGATGGCGGCCAGTGTA